CTATTTGCACTTAGTGTAAATAGCATATCGCTAAGAAAATACTGCTATTTTCACTTAGCTTAAATAGCCGCTGCCAAATAATATAATATTAATCTAATAGCTCCTACACAATCTAAATATTATATAATATAATATAATATAATTGTCACAAATCCGGTCCTCTAAATACCTGTTTGTCATTGTCTGACCCTCGCCTGTTTTGAATATGTATTTGGAATAAAGCTTTGCAGATGGATCCGCACGTCTCTCGTCTCTGTCGCCCCGTTACAATAATATAATATAATATAATATAATATAATATAATATAATTTGCTATTAATTTAATAATTACATTTTCATCATTTGATGTATATATTATATTATATTATATTATATACTTGAATCAAAATGCCAGAATGTTGCTTTAGACCCAAACCTCAGGCCTAAGCTGAGGTCTGACCCTAAAAAAAATAAAATAAAAGATTTGTCGACAGGAATGTTGTTCCAGAACCAACAAGAAAGTTGATCCAGGAACACGTTGTGCTTGGTGAAATCTAAGCCAGTGTTTTCTGACACCTGACCTAGTCCCGGTATAACTGAGATTTGAACTGTGAATCACAGTGATTGAACAAAGAATGTCATATTTCTAGAGCTCCAGCAAACCAAATACCTCCTCACTTCTGTGACGCTAGCTTATTCGGACTATTTACACAGTTTCATTAAGACCAAATTGGCCCAAACTGAAAACCAGATAAAGCACTATGCAGAGTACCTGCTACACTCAGACGATCCATTCACAACAAACACAACACATGCAAACATGGCTCTGTATACATGTAGAAGTAAAACAGCAAGACCGATTTTTTTTTTCATGATGCAACTCTTTCTGTCCTTTTGCAACAGACTCTAATGTTCATCCAAGCAGAATTATTACCATATGAGTTTCATCACCAAGACAATGATGACATAACAGAGGCCGGCTCGCCATCTCAGTCCTTCATAAGTGAGACTCATTACTTTGATGTTATAGCTAATGCTGTAGCACTCTTTCTAAATCAAGGACAGAGGATCTGGAAGCACTTAATAGTGATAGAGGAATGTCAGATGAAATGCATACAGCTGTATAATGGTTTATGATTCAGCCCACACTGAAAAACTTACATTCATTAGGTTTACAATTACAATTTCTCTAATGCCTAAAGGATAAAAATGTCAAAACATAAGGAAATAACCGGAGTAAATATTTGCTTAACATGAAATTATATATATATTATATAAATATAATATAAAATAGATGAAATGCATACAGCTGTATAATGGTTTATGATTCAGCCCACACAACATGCATTCTTGATAAACCTGTTAGTTCAACGGAGTTATGCAATTAACCCAATTGCAAAATTAATCAGTTATATATTTTATATATAAAATAGAGATTCAGATAAACTATTTAAAATGATAATATATAACACAAACATCTCATTTCAACAGCACATTTCCGTTGATGCTTCTATAACTAATTTTGACCCTATTAACTCTTTGTCGATTTCGTACCTTTGGCAAGCGTTCAGGGTCTCCTGGATGCCGAGGTATCACCTTCTGTAACCGCTGAAAACCGTAGTCTATGGTGGGTTCATTCAGAGCTGTGGACACAAACAAAAAAGACAAATCCATCACTTTTGATGTAATTTTAGAAGACTGGTTAAATTTTTTCCTTTTAATGTGCTGCAAAGAATAAAAGGCTTAGCATATTTTTGGAACAGAATTGAACATGGACATTTAGTTGTTGCATTATCATTTTTTTCTAAATATACACAAAATTCACTCCAACCTAGAGTAATAACTCTTCAGAGAGTGCAATAATAATATATACAACAGTTGTAATGGAAGTCATTTAAAATGGTTGGGAATTGTTGTATGCCCATGTTAAGTGCAGCAAGCGCGTATAGTGTGTAATCGCAGGACGGTTATGTTTTACGTTTCACGCAGCAATTACTTTGCATAAAGTCTTTATGCTGTCAAAAACATGAAAGCCTGTCACTCAATCTGAGCGAGGGATGAGATGGAGGACAGGAGAGATATTAACAAGCTATCTGACATCATTTGCTCATGTAATGGACAGAAAATGGATGTAGAATATCTGCTCATGATGGCACTTTGTTTGTGAAGTGCCACAGTTTTGAGAGCCTGCTTAGAAGTAGGGGACCAAACACAAACTCCTAATGGAATTAACATTCAAGACAGTTATAACCAGCTCAGACAAACTACATTTTCTAAAGAGGCATACAAAATAAATAAATAATATATTATATCTTAAATTCTTTATTAAATCTAATAATTACTTTTTCGTTGTGCAAAGCATTTACTGTAACATACAGTATACAGTGGAACATTACATGAAAGATGTTACAGAGTCATCCTATATTCGTTTTATATTCATAACAGCTTGTGTTTTACAGGTGCCAAGTTGTTCGCTGTCCTCTGTGTTTTGGTAAGCATGTGGTTCAGTGTTCATGGGATCCAAAAATGGCATCCGATTAAGCCCAAAATATGTATGTATTGCAAAACGTTCATACAAAACATGAGTGTCTGGTCCCAAGGCTGTTGAAGGATGGATGTGTGAGAAGAAAGAGAGAAAAGAGGAAGAGAGAAAGAGAGAGTGGTTTGGACAGTTTGAGTGTGAGGGAGTGTTAGGGGCTGCTGGGGCATGAAACATAGGTACTTTCCTGTCGGTTGGAGCAGATGGTTAAGATACTGTAAATTCTGTTAAGTTATATTGAAGTTAGCGCCTGGCAATTAAGAACATGTAGGTTATATAGGTTATATAACATATAATGATGTAATGAAGTGCTGCTGTTCACAGTTATTACAGCAATAAATTACCTTTCGTTATACAGTTCCTCGGAAATGTTGGTTGATAATATCTAATTAATCTAAAAACCTGTCTGGATGAAGGAGAAAGAAAGTTGACGTGTGTGTGTATTTCTGTGTGCGGGCATCTGTTAATAAAGTGATATGGAGATGGATGAGTCAGTGTGCTCTCAAACACATTCACATGCTTGTATGTGTCAGGAGCACTTCACTCCTCTCTTATTGCCATTGATTTCTACATTGTATCCAATCCTCTCACTCAGCCTGGGGAAAGCATTCACTTACCGAGAGACCCAGAGGTCGACAGAGAGGCAGAGAGAGAGAGAGAGAGAGAGAGAGTTGTGGGGAAAGATAAAACATTAGGATTTGTTTAGGAATTGTCTTAATGAATTGATATCTTGGTACCAATCTCAATGAAATAATATTTTGCATCTAATCTAATGACATTCATGTATTTTAAAGTGTGATTTGTTGTGTATTCAAAAGCTTTTTGTGGGCCACTACACCAAAAGAGTTAGAAATGTCAAGCAATGTATTTATGATTAATTGTGCATGAACAACTACAGTAGATAAATGTAATGCAATATAATATAATATAATATAACCCCATTTTGTAATAACTTAAACAAACAATAGCAACAATGACGTCAATCACAAACATATATTATATTATATTATATTATATTTGTTAAATACTTCATTCAATAGAAATCATTTATTAAATATATGATAATATGCATCAAGAGATGCATGTAATAAATAACAATACAAGCAACAATGGTTGTTATTAATTAATACGGATTAATATGTTAATTAATAAAAGTGAAATTATATTTTTTCAATGTATATTATATTATATTATATTATATTAAAACTTTTTGTGACACTTATTCATCAAATTATGCATTAATAAATAAATATCATGCATTTTTAAGTGTGACTTTCAAACTTGTGGGGTCACTGTGTGCCTGCTCATTAAAACAAATAAATAAATAAATGATCATATGTATGAAGTGACACTAAAGTAGTGTCACTAAATACATACATACATACATACTGTACATACAATGGCAATCATGCATTCTTAAACCACAATATTTCTTGAGTCACGTTCCAAACGCCTTTAGAAAAATAACCCTAGTCCAAACTGTGCTTTTGAAGAAGCTGTTTCTTATGAAAGAACCTTTCGTCCACTTTCAGCACAGGCTGATACTGCGGGTCATTGTGTCCCTCAAGAGTATATGAGTTTCCAATTTGATATACTTTTTGATTTGGTCACCACATCCTCTAACACTCACTTAAAAGAACACAAAGATATCAAGGGCATTGAGACATATAAAGTCCGTTTCTAAAGAGGAAAGAATCCTTCAAGGGTCTAACAAGGGACAAACTCGAGAGAAGGAGAATGAAGCTCTTCAACTATTTAAATATCTCTACTGTACGAAAAGTTCTCTTCCCAAAATGGGGAAGTGGGATTGTTGTTGGCCTAACTTTTCACTGTAGCCAAGTGCAGTATTCACTACATGCGAAACAAGCGCTAACCACACGGTTAGTATTTATAGCTTGGCCTAACTCCACTTCTTCAAACTGTTTTATTGTTTTCCTCGTATTAATACCACATGGCATCAATTTGCAAAGGGATGTTGGTTTATAGCTCTCCCTTGGTAGCTTTAGCGGTTAAATAGCCAAAAATAGCCTAAGTGAGAGAAGTATCTAACTGTGCTACTAGCTAATTTAGCGGCCTAAAATGTTTCAGAAGGGAGTTGTTAAAAAAAATATCGGTTTGAACGTGCTAGCATGGTGATGGCAAACAATCTGCTGCAGTATATATCATATATCTACCTGGTCTAATGTATCTGAACTTAATGGATTTGTAAGAAATTTGGATGTTAACCAAACCAAACAGAGATTATCATGAGCCTGCGCAAACATTGTCTACTAGCGTCCACAAAGAGAAAGCAGGATCGATGAATAGTGCCACTGGCGCAACATCTGTGAGCTGTCAGCGCAAAACGATTGGCTGATACTGTCCCACTGATATGAACATCATTGACAATAAATTAATGAGCAAATATACCCCCACCCTGTGCGTATCACTTATTTATATCCCTCGCTCTCTGAGAAGAATCTCTTGCAATCACAGAGATCAATTCTTATTGAAATTTCATGAGGGCAGATCCAGGCCTCATCATATTTCACTATAATGACCTGGACGAGGGAATGTTGTGAGTAGACGGACAGTGTGGAAAGAGGAGACAGGGAAGCATGAGGTAAGTCCTCATTTAATTTGAGCATAGTAAAGTGGCGTGATGGGTAGTAGTTGGGTACGTACAGTAATTGCCTATTGCACATACACTCACTCTACAGTCAAGCCAAACCCACACAAAATCCAATAGATTCATTCAATTCATTGATTCAATAGATCTTAAAAGTGATTTGTGAATGAATTGCTTTTTTGTCCGTTGAGTTGTTGCCTTACTTCCCATGTTAAAGGGACAGTTCGCCCTAAAATGAAAATTCTGTCATTCATTACTCACCTTCGGAACACAAACAATTATGAACATAATTGTTCATCTTCGGAACACAAATTAAGGCCCTGTTTACACTAGTGCATTTTCATTTTAAAACCTTGTCTACACTGACGTTTTCACTGCGTTTCAGAAACGATCTCCGTCTACACTACACAGCCAGAAAACGCATGTCACATGACCATTTATGCAGGTACAACCATAGATATGTAGAGGTAGATGCCTTATTATTTAGATTGCGGATGCGTCTGTGTGCTTGGAGCCGTCGAATGGGGAATCTACCTATACATATACAACTATGAGCATGATGTTATTGTTTACACGGTCGTCAAGGATACGCAGAGCGAATGTGGGCAGCAACGCCATCGTTTTCAAAAGTCTCCGTTTTGCTCCGTTTACACTGAAATGCAACCCCGGCGTTTTCAAACTAAAACAGGGTCTGCAGCATTTTCTAAAGTCTCCATTTTTGAGGGTCGAAAACGAAAACGGAGTAGTGTAAATGTAGCGTAAGATGTCTATGGAGGGTCAGTAAGCTCCTGGATTTCTTAATTTGTGTTTTGAAGATGAACGAAGGACTTACGGGTTTGGAAAAAAAAAACATGTAGGTGGGTAATTCATGACAGAATTTTCATTTTTGGGTGAACTATCCCTTTAAGTTTTTTTTAAAGAGTCTTTAAATAAAATGATAAATATAATCGAATTGAACACATCAAATAAAGCAAATCTAATTAAAGAATCAAATATATAACAGAATCAATTTTATTGTAGAACCAGTGTTTGAATCAAATCAAAACAAAATCGAATTCAGTGTTATTGAGTCAAAGCGAATTAATCAGATCTATAATTGATTCTATTCTAAAACCAATTTTTGAATCAAATTCAAACAAACTGAATCTAGCTAAATAAAAGCAAATTGAACATTATCGAATCAAAGTAAATTAATCAAATGCATAACAAAATCAATTCTATTCAAGAACCACCAGACCAGGCACTCTAGCAGCACTAACATGGTATATTTTAGATTGTCTTTCACTAAAACATTCTTTTTAGAGTGTTTGAATCAAATCAAACAAATTGAATTAAATAAAAAACATTGAATGAAATCAAATTGATGGAATAACAGCTAGAGAAGAAATGATTGTATTTCACAACCAGCAGGTCCAGTGGTGTGTCAGTAGGGATGGGTATCGTTAAGGTTTTAACGGTAGTACTACTCTTACCGATACTGCTTATCGATTCGGTAC